GTTTCACCTCTGAATATGTCTGTCTACTCATTAGGCACAGCGTTGACCATGGGTTATCTTACTAGATGGCCTTCCTTGTGGTGTAAACACAACTGCTGTCATTACCAACCTTTGAAATATCTTTCCTTTGTGTGCCTAGTGTTATTTAATCATAGAAATGTTATTCAGAACATTTGTAAAATGTTTTGTCCTATATCTGAAAAATTTTACAATTGTAGTCAATCCTCAACCATTTTATTATTTCCTGTTTGAATAAAATCATGTCTTGAATCCAAGATTAGACTTCGTTGCAACAGGGGATCTAACACCTTCTTCTGGACTCTCTGGGCACCTGTCCTGGTTTGTACATTTACACACACACACACACACACACACACACTTTTAAAAACCTACAGAGTCAGGCATGTTAGGAAGCATTGAATCAGAGGCAATCGCTGGACCATATTCGGAATGCCATTCTAACCAGCTGTTGTTGGGTTTTGCCAGCTCATCATCGTGAAGCAGCGAGAGCAGCGGGAGATGGTTTTCCGACAGTTCCTGGTAGAAGACAAAGGACTCTATGGAGGACCATCTTATGTGGATTTCCTCTGCTGTGTCCACAAGGAGATCTGTCAGCTGCTTAACTGAGGAGTACCCTTCTCTCCCACTGAGGGGGCATTTCCGAGGAGACAGCCTCCAAACTGGTGCCTAATTTTCCCAATGACAGTAGGCTAGTTTTAATTTCTTGATAATTTTCAGGATTGCTTGCCAAGACAGCGCATAGACCTTCAGCTTTGGTGCTCGGGTAGCAAGCCCGTGAAGTGTGGTGGTACCATAAAGGGAACAGTCTATTTCTGGCTGTCCTACTTGTAATTTCTAAAGCTGACAGTTTTCATTTCATAAATACATAGTTTACAGAGCCATTCACTGTCTCAGTCTCCTTTCTTTGTGCTAGCTAGATATATAAATTATTTTTCAAACTGTATAGATTCATGGTCCCTCTCTCTTTCACCATGAGAGGACAAGGTTTCATTTTGCCTTATACCCAATGTTTTTAAAACTCTGTGACTACATTGAACAGATTTTTTTTTCAACTTAAAATCTGCACAGCATACTTTTTAAAAGCCTGTAATCTCTCTGGTAGAACAATTCGTGTTCTCCTTTTTTCATAATTATATATTGTCTGTTTAAAATATTTTCCAGTCGTTTTGTCTATAAAACAGTATCTATATTCTTAATGGTTCTTTGTACAATTTTGATGGTTTCTACCTGTATATAATGGATCTTAACCAATATCAATAAATTACTTCATGTACTTTGGGTATATTTTATGTCTTTTGAAAATCTGAAAGGAAATAAGGATAGCACTAAAACTACATGGCAAAAAAACTCCCAAACGGAACGGTTTACTGAGACTATGTCTGGATTTAAAAAAAAAAAAAAAAAAAAAAAAAAAAAATCTTTGTAAAGGTCAGTAGCATCTAGCTGTCAGAAACACTCCTCAAGAAAGGCATTTATAAGTTCTTGACTATGACACATCTGGCTGAACTGCTTGTGCCTGGAGGACTCTGGTATTGGCTTCTTGTGTTAAGTCCTTCAATGCACATACTAGTAATAAATAGTTCTCTTGAATAGGAGAATGGCTTTGAATGGCACCTGCTCCATGTGTACCCTCCTCAGCTTCATCAAAAACACGACACATGGTGACTGCTGAGTCACAATGGAGAGCACACACCTCTGCTGTCTTCTGACCATTTCCTCACTTGGCTTGTTCAACGCTGCGGAAACTTCCTCTTGTTAGCTTCCTTTGCATATGAAGATAGCTTTGCGGCTGCTCAGTACTTCATCTGTGGACACATGGCTAGGAAGGGTCATTGATAGGTTGCTGGATGCCATGAACTGAGAACAGATACATACGCTGACCTAGTAAAATGCCCTCGTGCTAGCCAACTAGTGAGGTGTTCAGATTGACTTGGATGAGTTTAACAAGAGCAGAAGGTCCACAAAATGGAAAGAATAATGGAGGTATTTGTGGAAAGCAGGTTAAAAAGCATAAAGGAGTTTGTCATGAAGAGCAGTGCGATGAAAGCAAATGTGACCTCAGTACAGAAGCAGCTAAGGGACTGAGAGACCATGCTGCCACCCAGCAGGGTGACTACGTACAGTCCCTGGAGCCAACATGGACTTACTGCTCCCACCACTACTGTGACATCAGAGTAAGAAACTTTCAGTGTCTCAGTTCCCTATTCATTTGCCGCCCCACCCCCACCCCGCATCCTCTCCTTTTCCACTGTTCTTTATTAATTTGACTGAACCACTGTTCTTTATTCATTTAAATAAAGAGCAAGCAAAGTTGGCTCTGTCCAAGACCTCTGAAAGATGGTAATTCAGTGAAAACTACTTGATTTCTTGTCCTCAGAGATAATACTGAAGACAGAAAAAAGCCTTAATCATTGAACAGCAAAAACAACTGGATATATTGAAAACACTTCTTAGACCTTTGCCCTCTGCTTTCAAAAAAGGTTAACATACACAAAGGGAAATGATTCTCTCACTTTTCTATGCTCCTAAGAATGTAAATGCTTGTTCATGTGTAGGAGTCTCTAACAGGTGTTTCACGAGAGAAACAGGTCTGCACCTCTACACTGTCTCCCATTGGAGAGGTGAGTGGCTTACACTCATGTCACATCATGGGTCATGGTGGGCAACTTCATAATCCACCTCTTGTCTTGCATGTTTACCCTAAAGTAAGCCAATTCACATGCTTTCAAAGACAGTGGTTCCCTTTTCTAAGCAATGCCCAGCTCCCCATCTGAGTAAATTTGACAACATAGTATTTAGAAGCCAGAATTTAAAACAAGAACGGCATCCTCACCTAACCAAACCAAACTTCATGAGAAAAAATACAAGCAAATGATACAAACTAGCTTGTCAACTTCTACAAATAGGTGCAATTTCACTTAAACACCACACCCTTTTATTCTGTGTGACAAATAGCTATGATGGCAGTCGATAGCCACATTAGCCAGGTCATGAGCCATCTTTTTACAGACTCAAGGCCAAGGAGTTTATTAAGGGACTCTGTGCTGCTCCAATTTCTCAGGAGTAAAACCAATGAAGGCAAAAAGAAGAGAAATAGGAGAAAATAAGTCGAAATAAACATTCCTATTTCAAATTTAGATAAAATGTCCTAAGATAGCATTTTTTCTAACATGCAACAACTCTGTAGCCTGCTTCAATTCTGTGTGCATTTTACACGTTAACTTTTGAGGGTAGAGATAGTTTGAACATTCTGTTTAGCTCTAGGGAAAATGTTTATTGGGAAAAGCTGTCCAAATCATTTAGACTAAAGGAGTTGGTTTTTCCTCTGTGCAATATAACCAACAAGTTTCACACCTGAGTAAATGATGGAGGGCTTGAGAGCGGCAGTATGGTCATCCAGAAAATGAGTTTTCTGCTGAAGAAGTGTTAGGGGAAGTAGATTTGTACAACTGATGGCATATACTTGAGACTCTAGCTAAATTTCAGACTTATCAATAAATGTGAAGGATATAAGGATAAAAGGCCACAAACTCTGATATAGCATTTTATGCATTTTGTTTTGTTGGTGGTATGCTTGGGATGCTGAAGATTGAGCCCAGAGCCTTAAACTATGGAAGCAAAGTGCTCTACTCTGGCCTCCGGTGTGTTTTAAAGTAACAGCTGCTATAACCACAGTGTGTCAATCAGCAATTAAGATGGGTATAAAGATAGGCTGGCATCACTCCCAGAGACAGATGTAACGATCTACTCACTCCCATCCATGAGTGCCCTTAAGTGAGAATAATCCATGGCCCTTAGCTTTAGCAGAATGGGGCTATGAGGTGTAAGTTTCTCCACATAAGTCCTCAAAAGGTAGAGCCTCCCTCCACCTTCCCCCCCAGTTCACCTAAGCCAGAGGGTCCTTCAGCTGCTAGCCTACCTCTGAATGACTGCCTCCCTCGCACTTCCAGCCTGACAGCTTTCCCTTTCATAACCAAGCTGTTACTCCTAACCACCATCTCCATAAGCTGCTCTAACAGAAGGGGATGCTGTTTTGTTTGGTTACAGCACTCTCCAATACATAATTGTAAACGATACCAATTCCTTCACTGTGACACAGTCTAAGCACTTTGGGCCCCCTACTCCTTATCCTTTGATAATGGCTCCTGCTGTAAATGAACACTACTACCCTGGCCACACCACCTACAGCTGAAGGCTATATGCAATCCCATGCACACTGCTCTAGAAACTTTAAATAGAAAAATGTAAGGCTATGACACAACTGCTTACTGTTGAGAAACAACTGAAAATCTGATTTTATAGAACTGTGTGACAAAGTGAACTTGCAGTGGTCCACTGCCTCTGCCTTCCAAGTACTGGGATTAAAGATGCGTACCGCTACACCTGGTAATCATTACCTTCTTTCCTCAACCAAGTCTTCTTGCTTTTCCACATAAGATGGTCTGTGGATCTAAGTTACAAAGTACAAAAAGAAAAATCTACTCTCTCTCTGTGAGATGAACTATGAACTATCTGATAGGAGCCTAGTCCAAGTGAACACCAGACTGTTGCTATCCTTTATGCCCAGAATATGGAACATGAGAACCTGTGGGAGGTGGAAGGGATACTCCTGAGTCAGGTCTCCTGGGAACCTACCTCTGACAAATGGGAATCCCTACCTTCTCCTTACCTGTCAAATCTGGCATACAGGTGTGCTTTTGGATATAACTTTAATTACTGAAATTAAAAATACACTACAGCAAATGTAACTACCTTCGACATCTAAAGGTTGTCGTATTAGAAAGCACCAACGAGCTGAGAGCCAAATTCATCAGGCATTTAGAGAGTAAGTCCTTCAAACTAAACGGTGTTCCACGGCTGTCATATATGCCCATCTTTGACAAGCAGAACTGAAATGCAATCCAAAAGGAGTTTCACTTTAGGTCGGGCCCTTTCCATTTGGTAACAACACTAATTGCATTTAAGGAAAACAAACACAATTTCCAAGTTTTAAAGTTTTATTAGAAAAGTTATAGCAAAATAAAAAAAGGAGTTACCAAGAGCAATAATGGTATTATCTCATCCAGCATATCCATATCCATTCAAACATGAGTTAAGGTGTAGAAATGCAACAGCATGAAGCTTTCCAAGCCAACAACAGTCTCGTGGAGACAAATGCACCACATGGTTTTCTAAACGGCAACTGCAGTTCCTTCTTCCAAGCTGTATTCTTGAGGGTTTTCTGTAATTGCTTTTACATAGCAACTTTAAAGATGTCTGTCATTTCCTCCTCACCAAGCATTTACTCAAAAATGTTTAAACCAACCCTTCCCCAGCAAATCTGTTTTCACCTTTGTTAAGAAACATGAATCGTCTTAGAAGGCCAATCCAAGATCAAGTCCACACCACAGCCCTCCTTTTGCTTCTTCGGAAGCATGATTATGAGTCATCTGTGGCTGCACAATTTACATTATGATAAGCTTTTGCTTTGGTTTTTAAATCTACTGAGTTTTACCTCTTCCTTTACCTATCCCGAGGGCTCCAGCACCCCTCAGACCCTGATCTGGAAGAAAGTGGTTTCATTTCATCTCTCAGTCTTTAGTCCTCAAATGATACGTCAAGTGATTTTAGGATTTAAAAGTAAAGGGGAAATGATCTACATCTTCTTAGTGTTTCAGTGAGAAATGTTAAAGGCCCCAGAGAGGCTCACCACCTGTCCCAAGCCTGTTCTACCCAGGTTCCCAGTCTCCAGTTGCTGTGGAAGCCATGGCAAGGGAAAGAGCCCCGGCTCCTGCCATGCTCCTGAGATGCGGAAGCCAATGCTCACCTGTTTCCAAGAAGCCACAGCCTCAGTTGAAATCAGTCACGTCAGTGTGAGTGTTCCATTCTGTCCTACTGCATGCACGTGACTCATCTACCCTGAGCAGAATTGCAGTCCCTGTGACAACTGCAGGGACCTAGGGTGGGATGGGGTAGGGGCAGCTAAGGTCTTTCTGGCAGCACTAAAGCAAAGTGCAAGCTGGGAGTGAGTTCTAAAGTAAGTCTCCACCATAGAAGCCAGAGGGGACATTGTTAGGTGTCTTTAAGTTACCGAGGCGGAAAGCCACCTCTGTGTGTGCCTCCACGACCTCCCCTAAAGCCACCTCTTTCTCCTCGGAAATTCGATCGATTTCTTTCTCGACCACGGCCAGCAGAGGTTCCCCCTCTCCCGCCACCTCTGGGAGCTCCACCACCACGGTCAGACTTGGACTTTGGAGGAGGTGACTTTGGTCTAAGCCTCTCGATTTCCTCTGTACATCCGGTCAAGTACGAATTGGGGGCACTGAAATAGGATGCATATGTTTCTGCATTGTAGTTACTATTTGTAAGTGTTGGTCCAACGGTGAGCCAGCCTGGAATAAAGGGGGAAAAAGACAGATGAGACTTTCTATCTCCTTCTTTTATTGGTCCTGTAGGGGCTACTTCAAATCCTCAAGACATTCTTAAACATGGTTCAATTACCCACACAGCTACCATCTCTGCTATAGAATGTACAATATCCATGGTCATATGTAAAAGGGTTCATATGCACATATCTCGTTTCTTATCCTAGATAGTAGAGCTTTTATGAAATACCATCCATCCTCATTGTTCCCCATCCATGTACTATACTGTTAGAATACCACTAATAAATATTATTTTAAGATATAAGTTAGCCAGGTGGTGGAGTATGCCTTAATTCTAGCACTCAGGAGGCAGAGGCAGGTGGATCTCTGTGAGTTCAAGGCCAGTGTGGTCTACAGACCGAATTCTAGGACAGCCAGGGCTACACACAGAGGAACCCTGTCTCAAAAAAACAAAGTTTGGGTTGGGTTAAAATTTAATAAAGCCTATACATATATCTTTCCTACTTATTTGAAAATGGGGCTGCTGTTTTCTTATTAAATTTTGAAAAAAAAAAATTGCTTTTCTCTTAGAGTATACTCAGTTCTTAGGTCCTAAGAATTCAAGCACAGCGATGTGGCTCCTCATGCCATCTTTCCATGGGCAATGACTTTTCCCGAAAGATAAACACTAGCCATGGATATGAAAACAATGTACACCACCGTTAATAATAAGGAAACAAAAGCACAATGAGGCATCATCTAACCCCAGTCAGAATGGGTGGAGGGGCTGCAAAGAAAGTGGTGGAAATGTACATTAGAACAGCTATTATGGAACACAGTGTGGAGGGTTCTCAAGAAACTAGAATGAGGTTTTCACATGACCCAAAAATCCCACTCCTGGGGATCTGAAAGAACTAAAACCACACAGTCCCTGTGTTTATCGTAGCACTGTTCATACAAGCAAAATGTGGAAGTGACCTAGGTGTTCACTGATGGACGAATGGATAAAGTGACTGTCATACATACACATAAGAATGAAATTCTGTTGCTGAGTGTAATGGAGCTGCAGGGCATTATGTTAACTGAAATAATTTAGGCAAAGAAAAACAGCACAAATTTTCATTTATAGGTAGAAACAGAAAGTGCATCTAAAAGATGCAGAGACTAGAACAGTGCTTGCAAACAGCCTGGTAAGAGTGAGGGAAGAAAAGTGCATAGAAAGGACAGTAAGGTGTACACGGCAGCTGCATAGGAATGCAGAGTTAACTATGAGTGATAACTGAATATATCAAAATAGTACAGGTTTAAGATTTTCCCAATACAAAGAAAAACTGAGGCGACATACATTTCAGTTACCCTGACCTTACTATACATGTGGATGGAAGCATCACTGTAATCCAAAATGTGTATAATTACAAGGTGCCAAAAACTAAGTAGAGCACCAGGGACTTTTGGGTAGGAGAAGTAGTCAGTGTAATAGTACAATGACTGACATACACTATGACCAATTGTCTAAGTCCATAAACACTGACATCAACACAAATTATGACCTTTGTAGTCATGAAGGAATACTGACAATGGGGAAGGCAATGCGGATATGGGGCAGGGAGTGTATGGGAAATCTCTGCCTTCTCAGCTTTGCTACGATAAAGCTGATCACATGTGAACCACAGAGAAGAGGAATCAAATACGTAAAACTTATTTTACACGATACCGCGTCCTATTACCTTAAAACTGGATCTCAAAGAATGATAAAACTATCTTCTATAAAACTTAGGTCTCACCTGGCCTGATAGTACTATCTCTTCCAAACAGATGAAGACGTCGTCTTCCAAGACAAAAATGCTCTATTATATGAAAAATTTCTACAGGTTTTTCTATATTGCCAATTTCAGGTTCTTCTGTGATTATTAAGTCAATGTCAACATTAGCATGAATAAAGTCCCCATCTGTGCTCCTCTTCACAGTTCCTTTGATCCCCATGAGGCAGTGTTCCTGTAACAGAGCAGCCAATTAACTCTCATTACCAACAATCATATTTCACAGCATTTAACAGCCCAATGTCCCCAATCAATTCTAAAACAAACTTCATTTTTATGGATTGTTCAATATCATTTTATGATACATTATGACAGGAAAGGCTAGATCCCTGGCTGTCAGGCAATTGTCAAGTAAATGGGAAAAACTTTTCTCCCAACTTCTACATTTCTGCGAATACTTTCAAAGTGTTACTTCATTTCCAAGTGTTACTTCATTTCCAACACAACTATGCGGGGATTTCCCAAACCATGTAATTTAATTGTCCACTTTTCCCCCACTGTAGTTCCACGTCAGTTCAATTATGACACAATCTATCTCACTGATACATACCCCAAATGGCTAAAGGCATATGATCCTAAGATGGCACTCCAACTTCAGGTATGAATGAATCCAAAGTCATATGGTTTTGACTAATTATATTCGTTAAAATTATAAATATAAATTAGAGGTTGCAATGATCCTCCCGGGTTCAAACATTTGCCTGGGTGGTTCACGGACTTAAGAAAAGTGCTTTACTTATTATAGCATGTTTATTATAAAAGGATGTACAACTTAACTAGCCAGATGGGAAGATACATATGGTAAGAGTAGGATAAGGAGGATGGAAGTGAATTCTCCAGGCACTCTTCCCTCTCAGCAATTCCACAGCTTCACCAACCTGGAGATTTTCTAACTCCTGTCACGTACATGATCTAGTTCAAGAAGACTCAGTAAGACAGATGCTACTTCTAAATGCTTCCAAAGTGTAATGTGCAAAAGCTCTTACACCTTAAACTAGCGAGACAGAGTCATATGCAGAAGTCCTCAGTGGAACTTGTATGGGAAAGGGAAGATTAGACAAACATGACTCTAACTGGTCAGCAATTGAGTGCAGCAGTCATTGCATCTTCCTGAGCTTAGATTAGGGGAAACTCTTATATCAGAGAAAACAACTAAATTGGAATTATTATGTCAGTTTACAATGTACAGGAACCCACTGTGTACTGCCAGTGTGTACTGTCCCAAGATTGCAAAGGAGACACCTTTAAGTTGTAATGCTCATGCTACTTTACAAGCATAGAGCCTTAGTACTGAAATTAATTTCACAGCATATAGTAATTTAGAAAAGCTTGAGAGAATGGGAATAAAGAAAAAAAAAAAAAAAAAGCAAAAAAGGCAATACCTTCGTTCTCTGAAAAACTGCCTTTGGATCTAGAGTCTTCGTCTTGCCAGGATTGTTTTTATTGGTTTTAATCCAACAAATATCTTCACATCTTCTGTAACCCCACTTTCGTAAACACTAGAAATAATTTCAAAATGAAATCTTAAAAAAAGAAAAAACTTTAAAAACAAAAAATTAAAGAATTTTCTAGAGTTCTAGAGAGATACCAAATTTCAGAGCATCATAACAACTGTCCCATTGCAGACAGAAGAAATAAAGGCATAATAAATGTTAAGTACATCTTTTGAATATTGCATTAGTTTTTTCTCGTCACTGTGACCAATATCATATATAATATGCCTCAAAATAAAGTACTTTACATTTAAATTCTCAATATTTTTATTAAACTAGTTCAGAAACTGAAGACAAAGACCATTAATCTTGTAGCTGTAAAATATATTTCCCTCCCTAATGAATAAGAATCCACCTGAAAAGCACCAGAGAACAACAAAACAAACCCCAGCTTACTACTCTTCCAAGGTCCAGTCCTTCCCCCGAGCCACACCAGAGGAATATAAATGACCGAGGTGCTGCGATCTCATCAATTTCTAACTTCATAATCTAGAAGGAACAAAAATAATAGTGTGTAAAGCTTCCCATTTATCATAAATCCAAAGAATAACTATCAAAACTCATTAGGGTCTATGCAAATATATTCTTCATATTCTAGAAAATACCATAGAAAATAAACCCTGTGCCTCAAATTACTTTGATATGCTGCTGCTTTGTTATACTATATACAAGTGCCACACATACATGTGCAAAAAGACACACACGCATACTTGTTTTCATAGTGTTCAGGAGAAAGAGCTGATAGAATAATACACTTCCAGAGTAACGGAATTTTACTACAGATATTATACAAGAAACAGTCAAAGGATAAACAAGTCTAAAGTGAATGGTAAAATGAAATGTAAGTTGGGTGTGTATTATATACCCATAGCCACAGACAGCTTGGGTGGCTGAAGCATGAGGCCCATTTGTGCTCAGGTATCTCTTGGAATCCTCTTACAGGTGAGTAATGAAAGTCTCCTGCCATCTCTTTGTTCACATTTACTGCACTCTAGTTCAGCTCACGTGCCATTAGATGATCTCACTAACCTCATCACGTGCAATGATATGACCTCACTAACCTCATCATGTGCCACGAGATGATCTCACTAACCTCATTAAAACTTTTAAAACTTCAATAACTGTCAAGTAGAAGTAAAGTGTAGTGCACCCATAACTCTACTTTCTGATCAAATAAGCACGTATTCATCTGAAATATGAAGTTTCACCGTACATCATCCCATGTCCAGCACTTCTCATTCGCGGTGATGCCAGTCTCTCTATAGTATTCTTCCAGAGGAGGTTCCAGAAGAATAACATCAAATTTGGGTGTCAATTCTCTGATGTCAAAGGCTTCTATGTCTGCTTGTAAGTACCTAACAAAAGGGAGAAGGATAGTGGTAGTGAAGGAAATTCCTTACCCAATATTATTGGATCACTATTGCTAGACATTATTTATAAGATACTCATAAGCTAATTATTAAATAGCTTTAGTAGGTCTTTTGTTTTCCTGAAGACTTTATAACACCAGTCAATGTCTTCCTTAGGATTATAAACATATTTACAACAAAGTAAAGAGCATATTACTCTCCATGTATATCAAGGATATATTCTTCATTTATTTTTACACTGAAAATCTACACTCAGATGTGATCTCTAATCTACTTTGATTTTTATATATCATTATTATTTGCACTAATATATCATTATTTAGGTTAGAAGAGTGACATTCAAGTTTCAAATTCCTCCTTTCAGAGTTTCTAAATATGGACATGATTTCCTTTTATGAGGAAACATTAATAAATATTTTTACACTAATGGTGTTATCATACTACCTAATGAACATTGTTTTAATTTTATTTTTTATTTTACTTTTTAGGAGAACATTTTATTTATTATTACTAGGGTGGGGGGAATGGTGTACACATGGTGGTCAGAGAGCAACCTCATGCTGTGGGTTCTCTCCTCCCACTTCTGTAAGGGTTCTGGGTTTTGGACTCAGGTCATCAAGCATGCATCACTGGACAACAAGCACCTTTACTCACAGAGGCATCTCACTGGTTCCTAATTCAAGATACTTTAAATAACAGGAATTTTTTCTTTTATTTTTAAGGACTTGGGGGCTTTTAATGCTTAGACTTAAAAAGTCAGGCTATAATGAAGTCATCGCCATCTCTGAAGGACAAGCACTTTCCTGTCATTCAGGTAACAGGTAGAGGGCTAACCTTGTCTCCAACAAGCTCTAGTGAACAGAGAATTGTACAGTGATTCCCAACTCAGAAGCAAAAATGCAGGAATATGCAGCAAAAATGCAGGAATATGGAGCCAGGCTTTTTTGCAAGGCAGTTTCAAATGCTACCAGCCCCAGGAGGGCATCTCCACCCTACAGAGACCGAGGCAGAATTCACAAACCCCCCAAATTACCCAGAAAATTAAATAAGAAGCCACTATGGACTCAGCATCAGAGTTAAAAAATAACATATTTTACTAAAAATAGGAAAGAATAAGGCTACAGAATAACAGACTGATATGTAAGTCAGAATTAGAAAGAAAAAGCATTGAACTACTTACATTGGAGGAGTATTTGACTTAGCTATTAACTCATCCTTTAGTCTGATGAGTTCCCTAAGTTTAGGATATTCTTCAAATCTGTCAGCTAAACCTAAGGAGGAAAAAAATAGTAAATTCTAAAATTCAGTTCAACTGAAGTTAACACTAATGAATATAAAAGTTATGAGTCTTCCTTGATCATCACTTTAAATTAAAAATTCATTTTTGCTTTTGTTTTCCATACATAAGAAACACTGATAAGAAAATAAACTGCATAAATAAACATCTTAAAAACTAAAAGTCCGGGGGCAGGAGAGATGATCAGCAGTAAGAGCACTGCTGCTCTGCTCTTCCAGAGGACCCAGGTTTGATTCTCAGCTCTCATATCAGATGGCTCACCACTGCCTGTAAATGTGTGTGCGTGTGTGTGCGCGCGTGTGATCCCTATGCCCTCTTCCAGCCTCTGGGGGCACATGCACTCACAACTCACATGAACATAACCCCACACAAACACATACACCTAATGAAAAAAACAAAACAAAAACACAGTCTTTAACATGAAACATAAAAGTGAAAACTTTTGTAAAGCTCCCTCATTCAGTGATGTGGGTCACAGTTCACATAAAAAGGTTGAAGATTGTACTATTGTCAGGTTTGAATACAACAGTCAGCCCCTTATCTACAAAACAGAAGGTAGAAACGGAAGCAATCTGAAACCTGTCTTTCTGGATGACCTGATGATCAGATCTGAGGTGTCCTGTTTGGTACACGGAGATTTACAAACAGCCTTGTTCCTTGTTCCTTGGCATTAAGATCTTGGAAAAATATGGTGCCTTTTATCATGCTATCATTAAAAAAAAAATTCACTGTTTTTTTTATTTGTTTGTTTTTTGTTGCCTCAACATAAGGTGCGTTAGTTCTTGGTTAATTCAAATCTCCAGTTGACTCAAAATACATCAATACAACAACCTCTTCACAATTTATAAGTTTTATAAACATATTTACCTTGGGAAAGCAGGTATGTATCTTAAGAAATGAGTCTATATTCAAATACAACTGATTGTAACTCTTTAAGCTATCCTTAAATTCTATTTACAAGTACAGTAAAACCAGAGCCTGGAGTGGTGATATATTCCTGTAATCTCAGCCACTGATCAGGCTGAAGCAAAAGGATCACGAGCTGGAGGCTTGGCTGGGCCACATAGCAAGTTCACAGAGGGTTCCAGCAACCTACATAGACTCTTTCTCAAAATGATAAAATAATATAGGGCTTGGCACTTGCTTAGATACACAAGGCTCTGAGTTCAAGCCCTACTAGTGAGAAAAAAAAAAAAAAACCATAAAAACCACATTTAAATTAATTCTTCAGGAGCGATGATGCTTACAGCTGACAGAATTTAATTATATCACATTTAAATTTTTGTGTTACAATGATAGTATCAAGAAACTAAAAAGACAACTAGCAGAATGAGTAAAAAATTTATAAATCATGTATGTACGAATAGAAAAAACCCTTAATTCAATAGGAAAAAGACAAAAATGTACAATATAAGCAAAATATTTGGTTACTTCTTAAAAGATATTTAAGTGGGTCAATATGCCTACAGGATGCTAAGCTTATCATTAGTCTCCAAGAAAATACAAATCAAAACCACAGCAGAATGTGGGCCTGATGGCAGAGACTTGGGATCATTTCTACTCAGAGGCTAAGGCAAAGGGATGTCCACTTGGGAGGCACACCATATACGCCATCTTGGGCTATACAATGCAACTATCCTAAAACAAACAAACAAAAAACACAAAATAGATCCAGTGCACCAACCTAGTGTAAACTATAGGACCTTACTGATACTACACACTCTAGATACAGGACTCGGAGGTATTGAGCTGGGACTGACCTGAAAGCCCCCTCCCTAAGGACTGGCTCTAGGAGTATTCAAAGGTGATATTTATTCAAGCTGTCACAGACCTGAGAGAACCCCCTACTGTCATTTTCCTAAGCCAATATAATTTCTAACTGTATTCTAAACTTATCCTTATATCCACAGGCAAGAATGGCTCTTGCTCCCACATCAAAGAAGCTTCTTTTGGCAACAGATAGAGACTATTACAGAGAACAGGGACTGTGAGTGCCCAACTCCAACATCTACAACAAAACCCTTACACCTAAGGCTCAGGAAAAATCACGGACAGAAGCCTGAACCCAAATGGTGGCTTACAACCACAACCAAATGTAACTCGTCAAGGGACCTGAAGACCTCCTTCTGGCCTCCAAGGGTACCAGGCATGAAGGTGATGCAAATACATAAATGTAGGCAAAACATTCATATACATAAAAAAATTAAAATTTAAAAAGATCACAACAACAAAACAAAACAAAACACAAATACACGATGGCATACTTAACATCCACTAGAGTGGCTACAGTAAAAAGCACAGACAGTAACACAGAATGTAAAGAAACTTGAATCTTTATACACTACTCATAGGAATGTGAAATGACATGGCAGTTTGAAAAACTTTGGGGGTGATACCTCAAAAAGTCAAACACAGAATATACTTTAAAAAAATTTAAAAGCATTTCATGACCTATCAATTCCAATCGTAGGTGTTTGTCAAAGAAAAATGAGTACACGCCGTACAATACTCTATACAAGTACCTATAATAATGTAAGTGAATAACTGAAACCTAGGCATATGTGTATGTTTACTTATCATGTGGACTATTATTTGGGAATAAAAAGATGTACTGATATGTGTTACGGCTTCGAAAACACTGTCCTAAGTCAAAGAGGCCAATCACAAAAGGCCCCATGCTGTATAAGTTCAATTATATGAAATGTCAATAGCTAGTCAAACTTACAAAGAAAAAAGTAGATTAGTGGTTAAGCCCAAGGGACAGGTTAGAGGAAGCAATGTGGTCCCACTGCTAATGGGTACAGAGCTTCCTTAGAGAAACAAATGTTCTCAAACATATTGCTTTAACAGTTGCCAAGAAGGCTCTGTATGCACTAAAAGAACACTGAATATCATTTCAATGGATTAATTATGGGTATAAATATATATTACATATATACATATATATATATATATATATACACACACACACACACACACATTAATTGGAGACATAACATTGCTTAAAGGCTAGGAAGGTAGAATAGAAGCCCTGACACCCAAAGGAGGAAGGAAGGCCTGAAAAAAGTCTTGTTAGAAATAATCTACAAAATGCACAAATCACATGCATGTAGCAATACTTTACAGCAGGATAGTCCAAATAAATCTGACATACCTACATCCCTGATGAAATTCTGAGGTCTATGTCCAGTGTCTACAAAATGTTGGCAGTAATCATTATGGGGATTTAAGCTCTGCGTTCCCTAAAGAAATGGTCAAAATTAAATACACAGTATGCACTCTGATGGCAGATATACTAACTTTGTGTGTTTTTATTATGAAGCTGCCAAATTATGACAGACTGAAAAAATAAAACCACTAATATTCGAAAACACAACTAAAAACAACATTACTTATCAACAGTTATTATATGAATATACCATTATCACAGCTAAACATCTAAATACCAAAAAAACTATTTCATGAGTAATTTAAGATCTTTATTTTAATACTGAGATCTCTCAAAAATTGAAAACATACTAAGAAAAACTAGGTCCTTTCAGGCACTGAGCTTAACTATCAACAGCTTTAAGACTGGAAAAGTATTTTACCTTAAGAAAGGTACTGGAATCTTTGTAAATCTCTTCTTCATATGGCAAATTTTCTTCCTCCTGTTGCAATTCTAGTTCATCCTTGAAAAAGGAAAGATTAAGAAAACATTTAAAATATATACATTTAGCTGGTGTGGTGGCACACTCCTTTAATCCTAGCACTCAGAAGGCAGAGGAAGGCAGATCTCTGAGTTGAAGGCCAGCCTGGTCTATATTTAATTATTGTATCTTAAGTCTCAGTGTATTTTATTTGCCTCAGATATATTTATACAAGCATTGCATTAAAGTTTTTAGACTTACTTTTAAAAAGTTTGTTTATTTATTTTATGGGTATGAGTGTTTTAACCTCAGAGATCAGAAGAGGGCCTCAGATCCCCTGAAACTTCAGATGGTTGTGAGCTATCATGTGGGTGCTGGGAACTGAATCTAGGTACTTTGCAAGAGTAGCAAGTGCTCTTAACAACTGAGCCATCTCTTTAGTTATTATTTTTAATCATGTGTTGGTATGTATGTCTGCATGTTGGTATGTACAAATGAGTAGGTACCTATGGGATAGATGTTAGAAACCAAACTCAGGCTTTGTTAAGTGGGTAGGGGGTTGGGAAGGGTGTGGGTGTGTGTGTGTGTGTGTGTGTAGGAGGGCTAAGGCTGTTTGAAAAAGTCATATGGACATCTACTATTTTATAAGATATTCAATTATATAGTCATATATAAGGAGTTTAATTCAAGTTACCCTACAGAGGATAATGTGCCTTCCAGAAGCCATTGGTTGCCAAATAAAAATCCCAGTGTCACTGTGGGATATCTCCTCTTGAGTCAGGGGTGTCAAGAAGAACCCCCCCCCCCCATGGGAGATGTCATTCTGTATATATGTTTCTCTTACTGGTTAATGAATAAAGCACTGTTGGCCAATTGGAAAGCAAGATAGGTGGGACTAGGAGACAAGGAGGAGAGAGGAAGGAGTAGGGACGAGATCCAAGATGGAGGACTGAGAGAGAAGAACGCCAGCCAGCCCCTCTGGTAAGATGAGACCACATGGAAATACTTAGATTAATAGAAATGGGTTAATAATTAAGAAAGAGCCAGCCGATAAGAAACAAATAACTGGCCTACAGCTTTACATCTAATACAGAGTCTCAGTGTGTTATTTGGGGCTGGCGTGGAGGTCAGACCAGGCTGCTGGGGGAAAAAGCCTACTCATAACAGCCCCCCCCCCAATAGGTTATTACCAGTTCTTGGTTGTCCACCAGAACCTGATGGTAGACACTATCGCCAAGGATATACATACTTAAGTCACAAGACATGGAGAAACCAAGCTGGCATTAACCATAAAGTTTCCTCCCTGCTGCTAGTTTTTATAAGGCTGAAAAGTGCTATGTAGGCTGCTAGGAAAGAAAACTCAACATCTTTATCTAGCTGTGAACCTCATGATAAAGTAACTGGCCTGGCAAGGTATGTGTGTGGTGGTTAATACAGACTCAACTGGTCAAAGTGTCAAGTATCTGTAGAATACTTGACATCTATATTACACTCTGCCCTCAAGGCTCAGGAAACGTAGAAGAGGGGATGAAGGATAGAAAGATTGTAAGAGCCAGAGATGTGGAGGACCTAGATGAATCAGTACCTTCTGAACACAACAGGACTGTGTTCTCATGAACTTACAGTAGCTCTGGTTGCTTACAAAAGGACGAGTCAGTCAACATTCCATCATGGAAGGTGAAGAGGCTCATGGTTCCCCATCCCTAGCTGAGGAGCTATTAAGAGTTGGTGCTGCTGGGAGGGGAAGACTTCTTTCTGTAGGGGTGTGGTTCCAGGTAGGGTAACCATGATCCGGTCAATAGCTACACACTCATCTGTCTATGGGTAGCACAAATTAGACTCTGAGTTTAAAATATGGCTATGAAGTTGGGAGGGGGGATGAGAGTGGAAGGTGGATTGGATGCATCATAATTAGGGGTTAATGTGATCAAAGCACAATGTACACCTGCATGAAATTCTCAAAAACTAGTAAAAGATTATATTAAACCAAAAGAAGTAAGGTTTAGCTTGGGCTCTTTTGGAAATGGTTATACCAATGCTTTGGAGCCCATGAGTTGTCAAAGTACTTTAATTTTATTATCTTGTGCTTTTAATGTGGAACAATGTCATCCAAAAGTGACTGCTGCAGCCCCTCAAAATCTATTTTTTTCTATTATTTAGTGTTTATGATATATTTACCTTTTGCTGTTCTGAAAAGTACTGCTAGTACTTAGCAATAACTATACTATTTTATATACATAATCATATGAAGCCACATACTCTTATATAAAATGAGCAAGTTGATGCGAGTAACATAAATGTTACTCAAGGATTTTAGCACATCTTAAAACCAAGCTCTCTAAGTGAAATGAATCTATTAGAAGGATTACTTTTTTTTCTCAACCTTGCATAAAACTATTTCATTTGCTATCTCATTTCTTACTTGCCTTATATTCTTCTATTTTGTCTTCATCTGTATCGCCTTCATCCAGGCACTTCCGTTTTGAATTTGGAGCAGCTGTATCATAGGAAGCCCTAAAAAGTAAACTACAACTATCACACAAGGAAATACAAAAGGTGCAGATGGCTCTGCTGATATTATTATTAACAAGTTATAGGAACAAAGTCAAATGTTTCCTGATTAAGTATCTGTTTATTCAGGTTATAAATCATCCAAAACATCACAGGCAATAATTTGTAGCTTATTTTTTATAAGGCAACCAAGTGAAAACATAAGCTATTATAAAGATTATATTATGAAAAGAAACTTTTAAACTATGTGTCCTTTCTACTAGTTTATGTATATTTTGTACTACCTAGTGTAAGCAAACTGATATACTCGATAAACTAATAATTTTAAAAATTATGAAATGTTTTCTGAATTATCAAGTACCACTTTTAAATTACATCTTTTATAATTTCGTAAAAATTATGATTTATAATTTAACATTACTTATGGTATGTAAGCTAATTCTTAGTGTAAAATTTCACTTCTACCTACTTTATAAATGGGAACTAATTGTTTTCAGAAAGCAAATATTTCATAATTTCAAAATCTCCATTTCCACAATTTTCCTAGCAACAGATTCATACTTACAATTAACTTCATAAAAAAAAAAAAACCTTCAATAGGTGATTCCAGATCTCATGAGGTTTAGGCAGAGTTGCTGCTAGGCCAGCATGGGGTACATAGCAAGACTATGTCTTACTCCCCCTAAATAACTGCCATGAGTATGTCACAACTAGAAAATCAAACAAATTATCCTTTCCCACCATAAACATCGCTAAAGATGGTTGCTCAACATACCTGCAATTTTCTCGTGTCTCAGCAATTTCCCTCTGCTCATCTTTGCTATTTAACACAGCACCAATGCTATCCGCGCTTTCAGCTCCCAGCTAGGAAGCAAAAGCCCAGAGTTAGACCAGAACGCACTCCTCACACACTGCAGAATGTGCTGATAATTTTAACATACCAAATATTTTATAAAAGCAACACTTCCCATAACACACTATCAATAGGCTGTCGAGATAAACTGGAACTGAAACAGAAGATCATTTCAATTGAGAATGACTTTGTCTGCTGAAAAACATTTTATGCACTTGGTTACATTAAAATTAAGATGACTTTCAGCCTATTTTGAATAAAACACAATTTAACAATAGTAGCAATAACCAAAAAAGGCAAATCACTTCATATGAACTGCTTCATAAACCATCCCAGACTGTCTCAAGAGTTTATTCCATTTTATCATAGCAAGGATTTTAATAAAGCTTACTAATAGCTTAAAAATGGTAGTATCAACTTTGGGTAGCCACTGGGAAAATTCTGCAGAGTGTAACAAATGTAAACAAATGCTAAGATGAATAGAGCCAATTCATGGAAAGCTTTCCAAGTCAGATCAAGGGTACAGACTAGCATGAGGAACATGTTTGGTAATAAACCTATGGTATTGAACTTACAAAGCACAAGACCTATAAGAACATGTGCATTTAGTGGTCCCTTTAGCTCCAGAGAGAGAAGGCAGACAAAAATATCAATGCTGCAAATTAGCATCTTTGTACAACAAAATATTCTCTTAATTTACCACTTCATATGACTGCCTTCACTTCCCCTATGAAAAATCTCCTCTCTCATACACACACACACACACACACACACACGTGTGTGTGTATATATATTTCAACTCCTCTCTATAAAATCTTCTCTAATTCTTTTTGGTCGGAGGACAAAACACCTGCTTCCTATGGTTGGAAAGTTTTCTAATTTCCTTTTCATGACTAATTTCTCTCTATTTGTAATTCACATCTCAGAATACAAGTCATTTTTTCGGAGTTCTTTAAGCAATCAATATTTATCGATGGATTTAGCAAGCTGCCTCACTAAAACTTTGCACATTTTCCTCCACTTATATTGATATGCGTGGTGCGATTCAAACAGCCTCAGATTTTAAGTACAACAACGTATTTTGTGTACCTTCTGCACCTGTAGTCTACTATTTGGCAAGCACTTGCATACTCATCCATAAGCTTCAATAAAAGCGAAAGGCTTGGAAGGCAATTGATCGCAGAGACAAGTCTCAGTTAATTCTCCAGGAGTGACCAGGGGAAGCAACAATCTTGGAAACCCATTCCTTCTTTGGTAAGTGACCCTAACACTTCCTGTTTCTAATACTTACAAAGGCAGAATTCAAATATTTGTCGCGGGGAGAGTGTGTTAGTAGTGCAGAATTTAAAATTTACTATCCGTTTGCTTCCAATGCGCCTTTCGACAAGGTCTCAAGAAAGTAATACAAACTTCCTTCAAAATCAATCTCAAGAGTGTGAAGAGAGGCTGGGGATGGTTCCGCGATTGAGAGCATGCACTGCTCTTCCAAAGGACCCGAGTTCAAGCCCCAGCACCCACATCAGGAGGCTCACAAACACCTCTGACTCCAGCTCCAGACAGATCTGACACCTCTGGCCTCTGCGGGCACTTGGACTCACCCACGCGGAGGCAAACCCATGTGGTTTAAAATAACAATAATAATAATAATAATAATAATAATAATAATAATAATAATAAAGAACTCTTAAAAACAACAACAATAAAATAAAAGCACGTAAAGCTGAACTGGAAGAAAGGCCAGGCACGAAACACCGCTTAAACCGTGCAGAGAACCGTAGATCCCCACGACTGAGGGCGCCCACGGCGATGCGGCCGCAAAGCCCAAGAGAGGCACCGGTTGGCCTTCTCCCTAACGACCCCCACAGGCACTGCACCCGCCGGAGCGAAGAGCAGCGGAGACGGGGGAGAAAAGCCTCGGGGCGAAGACCTGACGCTGGCAGAAAGGGGAGTTCGCGGAAAAGGCGGCCGCGCACGCGCACTGCCCCCCCCCGCCCCGCCCCGCCCACACACCGGGCCGCACACCTGCTGAGCTAGGAGCTGCCGCCGCAACTTCTGCCGCTCCCGGATCTCCTGCAAGCGGCTGTCCATGCCCCAGCGCCCGGCTCCTGCTTCTCACCGCCCCGACACGCCAGGCGCCCGCTCGCTCAAACACTAACCCTCCTCCCGAACCAGGAAACACAGAGCCTCGCAGAGCTCCTGACAGGCAGGCGTTCACGTCCCTCAGAAAGGATTTCCGGAGCGCCCCAAACCGGCCGACCCAGACAGGAAGTCCCGCCCTGCCCAGGACAAGACCCAATGGGGATCCGAGGTGGGCGGGGCAGTCCGCCTGTCTGAATGTTTAACTCCTTCCTGGAAGGTCGGGTTTGTACTGATCATAAAGAAAGTATTCTTCCTTTCCCCGGTTAACCAATACCCACCCTCGAGGCCTGGCGTTTTACAATTTGAGGTATGCGTGTGGGTTTCTTTAACTGCAGCAGTAACCGACTTGCGAAGGATTGGATCCCCACTCTGCCTAGCTGAGTGACCCAGGCAAGTTAGGGAGATTTTGTGAAAGGACAGCAGTAAGAGGGCCCGCCTAGAGAATAAGCACCTAGCACAGAGCAACCTGGAAATGTATCATGCATTTCCCAAAAACTTAACTAAGTTGTTCTCTGACCACCATGTAGTTTTATAGCTTGGCACGTGTATACACACACACACACACACACACACACACACACACACACACACACTAAATACATTTTTAAAAAGCCTAACAAGTAATTTTAAGAGAACAGCCCTTAAAAATTGCTTGCATAATGGTAGCTTATGATATATGACAAAAATGTTCATTTCCAAAAAGTATACTGTAAAACATTTTGAATATAGTGCTAATATATATTTATTTAAAACTCGGTTGTATTACTTGCTAATCATGACTGCTGATTTACCTTTATGCCAATGATGAAACCAGATATTTATTCACTGAGCATTTCATATGGCAAGCACCATGGGAGGCTCTGGAGTCTGTGATATATTTCATTATTCTCATGCAGTTTACTGTCTAAAGAACACCCCTTTCCCTCCATGAAGTTGTGCCTGTTGTATACCTAGGAATATCTCCCCCATCACTTGTTATGTTGTTTCTTTCAAAACTATATGATGAAAGTTAATTCCCAACATTGGAAGGTGTGACTTTTAAAAATAATTTTTATTGCCTTTCCTCTTTGAACTTCATATTTGTATTAAGTTCCAATTGTTGTAACCCTCTACCTTTTAATCTTACCCCACATACCTATTACCTATCCCATATGTCTCTTACTCATATTCATGTCTGGGTTGTTTGCTTGTTTTGGTTGATTGGTTGGTGGCTGGTTTATCTGGATTTGTTTTGTTTTGAGACCCACTGAGTTTAACCAGAATCGTACGTGAGACTGTGGGTTTGGAACTATCCATTGGAGCCTGGTAGGCTTCTCAGTGGGTACATAACTGGAGACAGTCACTGTCCCTTGCCTGGAATCTGTCAAGATAGATAGCAGTTCATCAGGGAGAAGTAGGGCCCTATGAGCCCTTCCCCAACCCATGACTGACTGGTGATAGGCCTGTTTTGTGGGGTCATGACTTCATTGACTCTGCCACAGCCAGAAGACATGCCCTATTTCCAGCTCTTTCATTCTTTCTGTCTCCTCCCTGAGGCTTGAGGAGGAGGTATAAATGTCCTGTTTAGGGCTGAACACTCAAGGGTCCAGTTGTCCTCAGTACCTTGAGCAGCCATGAATCTCTACATGGAGAGGAAGGAGATGGGACATTTAAGAGGTGATTGAGACATAAGGACTCCACTCTGATGGATTATTTGCTTTATATAAAGGGGTTTGGTGGAAATTTTCCTCTTTTTTTTTTTTTTTTGCATTCCTACCTTCTGCCGTGTAAGAATATGACATCTCTACCCTCTGGACAGACACTGTTGAAGTTAGTATGTTAATAACCAGCAGAAATTTTCATCATCTTTGGCTTCCAAGCTTTCAGATCCATGAGACATAAATAACTGTTGTGTAAGTTCCCTAGCCTGTTACTGTACACAAAATCAAACGATATTAATATAAAATCAACCTAAATGTATTCATTATTCTTACTCTCAAAAAAGCATCAATTCTACTCCCCCAGCAGTTCCTGTTTCAAGTAAGATTAATAGCAAGCCATTTCCCAAATGAGAAGCTCTCCAATTTCCATTAGCTTCTGTATAGTAGACACACACACACACACACACACACACATACACACACACACACACACACACACACCTACCTACCTCTTCATTTTTCTACCATAACCTGATATTGATCCTGTTTCACATCCTAATTTGTCTAATCATATCTGGTTCCTCCAAGTCTTCCTAGTGTTTGTGGAAAACTATAGGTCTATCATTTCAAACTTGACTAAAACATGCTGTCCCAATGACACAATTTAGTAAATCACCTTAAAGAACATATGGTGTAAGGAGAAAGTTAGGGCATGATAACTATAGTAGGATTTTGTGATATCCACATCTCTGCAGACATCTCCATCTCCATAGCTCCATGTGCAGCACCAACCTTCTCTCCACTGGTGGATAGGCTGAAGGACAGACTGAAGTTTAGTCAGAGATGCTCACAGGCATGTCTTACTGTCAGTGATACATACTTGCTCTACTAAACAGACATGAGTACTCCTGACCACAGCTGTTGTTTGTCAACACCCATTTCTTAAATATTACACATTAGGATCAGATCAGTTGATTTAGTTTGTGTACCTATTTTGTGATTTTTTTTTAGTATAATAATAAAGAAAATCCAGAGATAGATATTGGGGTTAAAGCTGAAGATCACAGAAGCAAAGCGGCCAGCCACTAGCTCTGACCTCTACCTCAGACCAAACTCAGGACACTGTCCTGCATCTACCTAACCTCAGACCGCACTGCTCTCAACAAAACATCAGATTGCAATGAGCTCCTGTCTCCTCCAGCCTTATAGTCCTCTCTAGTGCTGGGATTAAAGGCATGGGATCCCAAGTGCTGAGATCACCTTTGTGTGTGCTCTGTTTCTTTTTTAGACTGGATCGATTTTGTTTAGCTCAGGGTGGTCTTGAACTAACAGAGATCTGTCTGCCTCTGTCTCCCAAGTGCTGGGATTAAAGATGTGTACCACCACTGTCTGGCCTCTATGGCTAACTAGTGTGGCCAGCTTTGCACTCTGATCTTCAGGCAAGCTTTATTTTTTAGGTCATAACCAAAATATTACCACACATTTTGGTTTGTATTTGGAAATAATTTTCTTGAATACTAGAGAAAACAAAGTACAGAGTTGTCTAGCAGAAGCTAAAATAATTTAAAGAGGGTAAAGATTTAAAAACATCTACTCTTAATAAAACAAAGGCTATTCTAGGCAATTAAAGGAAAAGCATGAAAATTAGAATTTTTTTCTAAATTGATTTCAACAAAAGGGACTAAAACAAGAAAGTTAGGTTTATGCTTTAGCCGGTGTTATATTAATATACATAATGCAAATTATATTATGAGATCAGAATAAGTATTTCAGAGGGAACCACAACAAATTCCAACATGTGAGCTAATTCCTGAGTATCTTGTGATTTGTGTTGTCTAGCATTTCAATAGTTTTAAGAAAAATTTTTACTATATATTCTGTATATGTATGGGTGTGATGTGGTGTATGTGCATATGTGGGGTTTTACACGCATGAAGAGACCAAAGGAAGGTGCCAGATATTCTGGTAACTAGGTTTCCACTTTATTGCTTTGAGACAGGGCCTCTCACTGAGCCTGGAACAATGCAGTGGGCAGCCTATCCTAATGATCCTCCTGTCCCTGCCCCTTTCCAGGCACACAGTGACAGGCACACAGACAGGGCTGTGCACATCTTTTTGTGTGGATGCTGGGGTCTGGACTCAAGTCCTCATGCGTATGCAGCAAGAGTTCTTATACACTGAGTCATGCCTCTAGTCCTCCTTTTTGTATTTTATTTTGGGTTGAGAGCCTATCCTTTAATGGCTGTGCTATCTCTCCAGCCTGTTTATTGTATTTTAAAAATCAACAAAATCATTATGAAGAGAAAAAGCATAAGGGTTTAATTATAATTTTGAGGATGTGCATTGAAATGATTTTATAAGATATGAAGATATTATATTATTTGGATACAATTAACTAAGTATTCCTTTAAAACACTAACCTACTGTAGAAACTTCCTAATATATACACAAACATAAAAATCTTGGAGTGTAATGTGGCAACACTGCTCCTACTAGACACCACGGGATAGCAAATAAAAATCCCCACGCCATGAGTGGGCAAGAATGGCTACCTCCTTCGGAGTGGTTGATTAGTGAAGTCCCTCAGAACCCCAAATATTGCAGACTCTTGCCAATACTCTTGGTTACCCTGCAGAAATTGACAGCAAGACCTTATTGCAGAAGACTTAGAATATTTAAAGTATGTGTAGGAAGAAATGGAAGGTGGAAGGGAGAGGCTTGGTCTGACCTTAAGTAGGAGAAGATGGCCAAAATGCCTACTGAAGAAAATGGGGTGCAGCCTCTTCAAATAGGAGCAGAAAAAACTTCCATAGTCCCTTAGGGAAGCTAGAGCGTTATCATCGTTTAATAAGGATCAGGAAAAACAGATAGGCTGAATAGATGTTTATTCAGGGAGAAATAACTTACAACAGAGACAGATGAACACCAGCAGGTTCCTGGTCCCAAGGATGGATGCCTTTGAATGCTCTCTGTCCCCATCCTGCAAGCAAGCAAGAGTCCTCTGGGGACCCCTTCCCCAGACCTAGTTCCCCTAGGTCATGTCCACCCCTCTCTCCACCCATGATGGGCATGGTCAGTGTCACTGGTGCAGACAAAGTGAATATCTCACTGCAGAGAGTGTACTCTTTCTTCAGGAAACTGTCAAAGACACCACACACTTGGGTGAGAGAACATGGAGAAATCACGCTGGTAATCACTTGAAATCTTCATCCCCACCCAGTAGCTTTTATAGAGCTAGAAGGTGCTATGTACAGCACTGGAAGAAAAAAAGAATTATCTTCCCCAGCTGTGAACCCTGAGAGCTACAAGAATGACCAGTCCAAGAGGGCGCACCCACTGGTGCAACAGTGATGTGAAGAGCATGGGGGGAGTAACCAACCACTTGCTAATTTAATTTAAAATTTAATTGAAAATCCACACTACAAGTTGAAACCTATACCTCATACCATTATCAG